GTCCGTATTTTGCAGGAAACGCATATATAATGTCCGAGTATCTTTTCCGCTGGTGAAGTTAGAGTTCAAGTTGAAATCTATAATCATTATACTAGTATTATAAAATCAATGCAATCACTTAATGATCTTGTTTTGCGCAAAGTTAAATTTTGTATTCGAAAGTCTTTTTGCTAACAATTTCGGACAGAGTAGCTTCGGTTTTGAATTTCTACGGCCCAGATTAGGGAAAAATAGACACATTATTACTTATTACATATATCGCTCATATTTCGACAATACTAGGCCCCATAAAAACATTTCAGTGAGCCTATCTGGTACATGCAGTGATCCTGATTGGTATTTAATATCCAGCTGGAACATGCACGCATTATATGACGAGTTGTATCGTAGTGCTGTATTATAGTGGCATGGAAAGTGAACGTAAACGTTCACGCCCGGTCGCCTACGATAGGACATGTTTTTTTTCAAAGGTTTCAAATGTTTAACACTCTCCTTGACAACCAACCGTAAATGCAATCATTCCTGTATACTAACATTAGCGCAAAAATGTAACTAGTATTTTCTTCCCAAATAATCAAGAGTGACAAATACTGGTTCAATGTCAGATTTTTTGAGTCATTTTAAAATGTTTTAAGAGTTAAAAGGGGTCACTGAACATATCTGCACTACACTGAAGCAGATGTTTCTATTGTTCTATCGAAGACAAGTGGGTAGTTCGATCATACTCCAATAAGAATAACATATTGACTAAAGTGTTGTTTGGCGGACGGTCATTCTCTCACTCAATATTGGATGACGCTTTTTAGAGCTGTGTGTGTAGAAACACGTGACCAATAGTACTCAGTTGAAATAAGTTGGCGCCAAACAAGTGCAACGGTTTATAATGAATTATACTGTTTTAATGCCTGCATACACTCTATGTTGATTTGTCAGTTTAAATTACCGAGCGCAAGGTATAACATTGGAGTCATAAGTGACAATCTATATGCGAATAGAGACTCACCACTATTGTAATTCTATCGATTGCATATGCAACCTTTTCGAATTTCACGTTAATTTATTTCCAATAAAAGTATTAGGCCTAATAGACCGTTATCGAGCCAGGTGATGTTTGCAAAGAAACTCTCTGTAGTGAAAATATCTGCCTTTCAAAACGTTGTGCATCAAGATATAATGATTGTATATTCTTTATAATTCAGGTTATAATTTTAAAAAACAAAACATGGTTCACATATTGTGAATAAGGTTACGATTACAGATTACTGTAAAACATGTTGAAAAAGCGGCATGTAATTTTAGCGAATTGTGGTAAAATGACGTAATAGCGAAATGTTGTTGTCATAAAATGATTGTCGATTTTCTGTCGCGCGCCAAAATAAAGGCGCAGTTATCATCTCCATAAAAACAAAACAAAAACTGTCAAGTGTAATTTGATTTAGTTTGCAATGATATAAACAAAATACTAAGTAGTACTAATTTCCGTAATAATATATTAGTATAACTTCATTTATTTATTTTCATTGAAATAATGACCACAATGAATACGTTTATTTTGTTGTGTTAATTTACTTTTCAATAGTGTATTTATCATGTCAGTACGTTTTTTTTGTGTTGTTTACAAAGTGTGTGTGGAGAAAAAAGACGCTGTTTGGCGGCCATTTTGAATTTATAATAAAGTCATTAGCGACATCTTGAATTAGCGAGTCAGTTCTCTCGCTAAATTCGCTAAAAAGACATGCTCGCGAAAGAGACATGTTTTACAGTATATATAAATTCAACCAATGATCAGACAGTGTATGTCAAGTTATAAAATCTTTAGATACTGTTACCATACACAGTACAGAGCACAGTTCGTATGCTAGTTAATATTTAACACATGTAAAGAAGGAAGCAAAAGCAATTATTTTGCATTGCGTGACATCAATTATTATTATTAAAAGACGTTGGTAATATATTGATACAGTGGCATCGAGTCAATGACACGATTTTACATTAATTTGAACAATCTTAAAACGCCAAAGTAACGGCGTTGCAATTGCAATGTAAAGGTTTACTTAATTTTATTTAAGATCGTATTTATATGCACTTTTAAATTGCCTATTTTTACATCTCTAAATAAGTAGATATGCATCAGTCTGTACTACATTTATACTAATGCAGAATTCATTTTGTGCATCACGTACAGTAATTCTAGTTCTTGCTGGCTTTCAAAATGAAATGGATTTGTTCTAGCAATTGATACATATTAACGTACTTTCTATATAATAGTGGATAAGACAAAAATGCTGTAAATAACGTGGTGACATATACAATGACGTAAAGATGTGTTTGTACACCATGTTTATAAATGAAACTATAATTATTCAATTTTCAATATTCTTAAATCATATATGCAAAAAAGCTATATTAAGTACAAAACACTCGTTACATGTACTTGAATGGAATACTCTCAGAGCTGCGTTGAGGCTTGCATTCCTGATTCGTATATCGATTGCTGTCTACACTGAAAGGCGCTTAAAAATGCCAGACGATAACGGGAACTCATGACGTTGTAAATAAGTGGGTCAATGGCGGAGTTAATGTACATTAATGATTTCATAGACACCATGACAATGTAAAGCTGTGTTATTGACATGCATGTCTTTGTCTGGATACAGGTATTGGCCAGTACTTGAGTAGCGAGAATCACGTCAATCAAATAATAGGGAAACACACACAAAAAGAACAGTAGTTCAGTTACTATCAGTAATTTGATGACTTGCAGCCTTTCTGCTCTGGCATCGGAGTCTTGTGCCGATATGGTCCCATGGTTACGTCTGGACAAAGTTCTCACAATGAGAATATTTAAGACTGTAATGGTTGACATTGAGACGATAAACGGCAAGGTTTGGAGAATCAACGTTATGGCGTTTATGCCCAAACCCCCTTTTGAAAAACACGAGATTGTAAATACCACGGCAAACGTGAATGCTACGGCCCATGTGACAGCTATGACGCGCCGCGCTCGCGATTTACTGCTCAACCTTTTGGCTTGGTAAGGTTTACATATTGCGAAGTATCTTTCCAAGGTTATCAGCGCCAGTGTCAGCATTGACGTGTAGTTCGACAGGTGGGTAACCCCGGAACTCAAAACGCAGTAGAGAGTCTGGAACCGTGGCGCAACTTCGTAGAACAAATCGCACGTTTCCAAAGGCACAGTGATAGCGAGAAACATTATGTCGGCTAGTCCGAGATTCATGAGGTAGCAGTTTGTCACAGTGTTCATGTAAGCTACCGTTGTCCGCACGTAAAGGAATGCCAAGTTGCCGAACAGTCCAGTTACTAAAATTGTAAGCCAAACACACGCTAATGGTCCACGTAGCTGCTGACGCAACAGATCATATTCATCAGATGAGAATGTCCAATCTACCGTCGTATTAGACAGCGGCCACACAGAGGAATTGTGTGAAGCTAGCTCCATGATAGTATACAATAGCCTCACTTCAAATAAGCTGCCACCATAAAGTTCACATCTGATAATGTATATTCCAGTACGTCATGTCGATCCGTTATCGGTGTTCTAAAAAGATGTAAAAAAACAACAACGTTGATATAATAACGTCAAGGTATACAACCAATGAACCATAAATCAGGAGCAGCTGTTGTGTTGTCATTAATGACGGGTTATTAGGGAAAACGTGGAATAAATCACTGTCATAATGTGAATGCACTGGGTCAGGAGTGATTGGAAACGCAGGCTGCTAGTAATAGATGGAGGTGTGAATGGCCTTCTGTACTATTTCACCCTCGTTCTTTGTTGCAAATAAAACAGCATTATGCCGAGATTTATTTTGCGAGGCCCGTGCATATAACGTTTGGGAAGGTTTTAAAGCAATCTTGTTTTCTACATGTATTAGTTCCTTGCAAAATGCTGATGAGGAAGACGACATGTCGTCCCACGTTCAGCATAGAACCTCCAGATTTAAAATGGTACATTCCTAAATGTCACAACCCTGTAAGCACCTTGTTCTGGGCATTTATTGCGTACCAGTCATCGCATCGCATTCTGTTTGTTTATGGATAAAATGCTAGGTATTCAGAAGGTGTAAAATACGAAATCCGAACGTCGTTCGCGCCGACTGTGGCACATTAAGTCGTCGTTATGTATTAAGGTGGGCAGTTCAAACGATGCAGAAAGGGTCACGTTTTTAATCTGGTTTTTTATCATCACGTTCATCGTCGTCAATTGACAAATAGCATGCGCAGCAACAATTGTGGTAATCCTTGCAAAACTGTTCTCTGTAAGGGGCGATTAATTGCGATGTGGCGAATGTTGTGTTGATTATACTGGTAGCGTTCATGCGGAAACGCTGTAAATATGTCGAACGTGCTTAATGTACTAAACATGGTATACATGTGTTAATGTATCCCATCAATTTATTAATATTTAAGTTGCAACGACAAAAAAACATCGATTACTTAGAAACGAGTATGAGTCAAATCACCGAGTTTCGCCAATAATGTAAAAAGTCAAGAACGATCATAGTTTTATTGTACGGCAGGTGTTTTTTTTTTTGTTTGTTTATGTGTGTTTTATGTTCTCAGGCAGCTAAATTAATGCAGCTGAGTGGTTTCCGCTTAATATGGACGTGTTTGTGCCATTCATTCACAGTTTTACATCTCTTTGATATACTAACTTCCTGGCACAGTTGATGAGAATAGTTTAAGTGGACGTCGACCCAAAGTCTATTGTCTTATCGCACAATCGCCATTTCCTTGCCATAATTAGAGTGATTTATATATATATGCATACATATTAAAATAAATACAAATGCCCCGAAGGAACTAGCGCCACGAATGCATCTCCCTGTGTCATCTTTATTTATTTACGTCGGTAACAACATTCTCATGACACGAGTGGAAATCCCGTGATTTGTTGTAGTTCAACTTTCAGTCACGCAAATAACAGACAGACTGCGTCCAATTTTTTCTAGATAATAAGAATAGCTACCGACAATCGTTGAACAGCTTTGATATGATGTAAAAAGAAAATGAAAAAAGCTGGCATGTTTAGTAACCTGTAATAACTATCTGAATCACGAATATTTTTACTCGTTTTCACCCGTTCCTCCCTCAATTAATTTGTATTATTAACTAACTTTGAAGTCTATAACATATGTAGTTATAGCATTCGCAAAATATGCGTGTCGTTTTAGTGGCTAATAATTTTTTTCGAACTCCCGTTATGTAACACTATTTCGAATCCATTCCCGGAACACGCTCATCACAGCTTATTCTAAACCTCCTTTATATAGGCCATTGGGCTTCACGTAGTTGTATCTCAGTCACGTACATCCTTCAGTTACTTCACCTAACAACGCACTGCAAAAAGTATTTAAAAAACTGTTTACGCCAACCAAACTACAAGTATTTACCTATTACTTCGTAAATGCGAATTATATTGGAAACTACGTTGTGGGAGCTAAAGTTGCTGAGGTGAAAAGATGCACCCCTTTAGCGGCAAATCCGTGACTCTATTGACGGGGCTAAATAGGCGAGTTATGAGGAAATGGAGCAAGTGGCCCGTGATAATACATGCACGTATCTTTATTTTTCTGCTTATCACGTCATTGTTCGTCAACTAAAATAAAGATACAAAACACTCTTAACGCAGCAATATTCAGCAAGACAATGCGTATATTCAAACAGCAGCCGGTGGCACGATGCAGTGTGTAGACAATGTTTTGTTGAACTGTTGAAATCGACGATAGAAACTAGTGACACTTTCCAAGTTTGTGGTTACGTATAACATAACTAACTAACGAGATATTTGGACGCTTACCGATTAAACCAACATATTTTTGCTTCTTTGCGAAAACCACTAATTTCCATATGAATTGTTAACTATAGCATATGTATGTTTAACTACACCATGTCTGATTTGCCGATGTCATGTACCATAATGGCAAATACAGTGACTCGGCACACTGACAGGTGTTTCAACTTTTCACGTGCTAAGGTACATGTATGGATCATTTCGGTTTTGTCTGTCTGTCAAACATTAACCTTTATTCAGAGATTTCTGAAAAGAAATTTTCGCGTTTTGCACAGCTGGATATGTTACTGAATATTTTAATCCAACAAGATAACGGAAGAGCAAAAATTACTGAGATAGAATCATCACAAACACACGCACGCAAAATAGAACGAGAATACTGAAAAACGTTCACGTATTTGTATCATAATTTTGCCAAGGTTATTGCAGCGAAGACTGTGCATTTGTCTGACGAACATCTGATAAAAGGGTGACACTAGCAAAGAACTTCTACAGAAAAGACTTGGATGAGGACAATCACTTCCTCAACAGGAAGTATATGATGCCCTACAACCGCCGACGCTTGTAATCTCGGATGAACTGTCCAAATCATGGGACTTGATTTGAAATGAATGATGTATTCGAATTATATAAATGTTTTTATTATGCAATTTGTAAGTAATTGTACATATTAAAACACATGTAATTTGCATGAAACCATTTTGTTTCTATTATACATATGGATGATGTATAAATCTATGTTTACGGGGTTTACTAATTTGAATATCAATATAACCGTGGAACTTTATAAATTGCTTATGAATAATAGCTATTACAGTATTACGTATAAAGTATGAAGTAAGTTATTTATTGTATAATTTAATACGGCAACGACTTTGTATCCATATATTCCGGATTGTGCACTAACAAATGGATTCATAGTACCACTATTTGAATTCGAGGGCGATAAAAAGATACTATATTCATAGCATGGGTTCAATCTGATTAAAATAAGATCCTTGTTTGTTTGTTTTTTAGTTTGTGTTTATTTTTTTTTATTTTTTTTTTATACATTTTCTTTTACTTTAATTTATTATTTATTTTCTGGCAGTCTTTAAGAGTTTTGGTAATCGTGAAAGCCCACAAAGATCCGACCCAATGCCTATATAAATCCCGCTCAAATATCCTATAAGCTACAGCCAATCACAGCTAGCCTTTTATATTGGTCGACGGCGTACTCATATGAGAAAATAATAAAACAAAATAATTAACAATTACAATGTACAAGAAAAAAGATCGTGTTACGGGGCAGGGTTTTAGTTTTGAAGACAATCATCTTATTAATAATCAAAGGTTGACCAGGGAAAATGCGCGTTAAATTTTCCAATTGCCTTTGAAGGCTGAAAATTCAATGTTCTGTCGTCAACTGCGACGGACAATTTTTTTTTTTTTATTTTACTGACGTGTTCTTGACCATATTTTCTTGTAAGTTGCACAAAACATGAACAGACATGTATTATTTAGATCGTTATTGCTCCGGTGATCTAAATGTGTGGTTGATTGCCGAAGCTCTGTCCAGCAGGAATTATTTAGGGGAAACGGGGGAGGGGACTGCTACGACTGACGCAATGTTTTCCAATAGAACACAAAAATACAACAAAGCAACTAAGGACGTAATTTAGTTATTTAGACTGCAGTAGTATTACTTTCACTCGCATCTCAAACTTGTAAAGTGTGAGGAGCGCACACTTTGCGCAGTTTGGCAATACTTCATCATGTTCTCATCGGTGGTGCTGCCGTATAGGCACATTTTCTCGCAATTTTTTGTTGACTTTTGATATTTCTCACCACTTATCAGTGGGAATTTGGATTCTCGTCATTAAACTGTTTTATTCCAAAAATTCTACACCACCACAACGTTACTGGGGAGGATGATATCAACTTTAGATGATCTGGGAGAAAGTGTCAGTTTCTCGCTCTAGTATCATTTTTTATGCAATTCATACTTTTCAGTGTAATAATATTCTAAGGACAATCTTTCTTTACAATGTATTTTTCCCACCAATTCATGCACAATTCAATACATTAATAGAAAATTACTAGGTATAATTGTTGTCATTACATTGAATATGTTTTTTTTTTCATTTCCATCATAGTATACACTTCTTGCTGAATATTCGCCAGCCAAGGTTCGTTTATTCAGTCACCGCTTCAACTTTATAATAAGTTTATAAACACAAGATGAGTAAAGCATAATGATGAAAACCATGTAAACAGCTATAGTGTACAATGAAACAATTAAATCCCAAACTGTCTACGCTGAATATTGGAGCAAACAAATATTTCATAATCAATTGCGATGTGTTCCAAATAAGAAAAAATATTTTTTTTCAGCTCAATTATTTTAATACAGAGATATTGTGCATTATGTTGTGTATTTTTATGAATATTTGCAACTACGGCTTCAATACCGTAGAAGATTTTGATCTTATCGTCAACAAAACATCACCCGTCTCCAGGGCAAACGACCAGAATTATTACTTGTGTTCGGTCGAACCGGTAGAAAAATCGTCACTCCCGGAAAAACTACGCAAATAACGACCTAAATTGGGATCATTAGGCCACAATATAATCATAAAAGCCATAGATGATTTTCGTTGCATTTG